TTGATCATTTTTTTTTTTCTCCCTGTGTCAAAACTAATAATCCTTCTCGTGTTTCTTATAGCAGCCTGGCAGGCTGAAATCGGTGTGCTGATCAATAGTTTTCTGTATTACCGCCAGCCAGACTGAATGAAGATAGAGACATCTCCTCGGAATTAACTCTGTGTCAGTCAAACACACAGACTGATGAGGCTTGATGCCGCTTTATTCATCTGAGATGAATTACATTTAAGACTAATAGTGTGCAATCCCTAACATCGTTCTAAATTGTATGTCAAAATGATCAAATCTTTCATCACACCAACGGAAGTTTCTTCGATACTTACTGCACAGCCGTCCATGATGGCTATAATGTAAGGGTTGTTGTCATAAGACATCTCTTCATCGTTTGATCCCAAGAAGCGGATGGCCTTGTCGTAGCTGTCAGAGGAGGCATCGTGCCAAGCCACGGACTGGTAGCAGTTGTAGGTAACGTTCTGCCTGGCAGCGGCACTGAGTAACCGCAGGAATGTCATCTGTACAACGCCAATGGGATTTCCATCCGAATCCACATAGGACAACTGTAAAAATAAAAAGCATGCAGAAATCTACACCATTCTCTGGGGGACTCGTATGACCTTAGGGTTATTTTCTCCTACACTTTATGATAATGTACTGCCTACTGTAAAAATATTAGTGGTCATCCCAGTGCTATGGTATATGAAGTACACTGGAATAAATATATACACATACATAATTTCTATATATGATAATTTTACTGGAGATGGCATATAGGATGTCTAAAGGGAACCAGTCACAGCAAAGCTGTCATGCTCCCATTCTGTGAACTCCATATTATGTTAGAGGTGGTGATAGCTCTCATCACAAAGCTGGATAGTTTAAAAGTATGAGTGGCTGAAATATAAGCTGATGGATAGGAAGGTACTTCGCTAGGTGTCACCACTGATGTCAATTAGCACTCTTAATAGCAGATATATAGGTTTGTGGCAAGCGTCTGCAGACTTGCATGGACTGAAAAGTGTTAGACACAGGGAGTTATGAGTCAAGTGTTTGCCAAAAGAATTTGGCAGGTAAAATAATTCCAATGTATGTGATTCATCTGTGTAAGCTGTTTGGCTGAAGTACACCTTTAAAGAAGCCCTGAAACCTGAAGTGCACTGCTCTGGTCCTGCCCCTCCCTATTGTCCTGTCACTATGCATTGTGCATTGCCTGACCCGTCTCCTGTCTCCTGCTCTGTAGCAGGAATAGAATAGCACGCTCTCTTTTAATCATTGTATGACACAATAAAACATATAACTGATCAGAAACATCTAGGACAACCATATCACATTATTATTTGCATTTTGTAGAAGATACCAACCTGGGACGGCACTGGCTCCTGAGCCGGACCCATGACTGACCGGGGAGAGAAAGGCATGCAACTGGTAGACACAGCCGGCAACGTGCGCACTCCAGAGTCATGTGACCTCTGCAGTGGAATTCTGTTTTTCTGTCTGTGTCTGCCAGACCAATCAGATTCCCACATCCATCCCCCCAGTGCAGCAGGGGGGGAATGTCTTGGAGAAAGTGATTGGTTGTTAAGGTCATAGCAGACAGTTTGTATTTTAGATGAATGAGATTTGATGTGTGCAGACCCACCATTTCCTACCGTTGCTTTTTTTGTATATTTTTATATTATTACTCACTGTCACCTGAAGAAGGCACATGGAAGGACAACCTCATTTATCAAAGTATAGTAATGGGAGCCTGTCATGATGGCTGCGGTCTGCCACAACCAAGGTTCCTTTTTAGTTCCCTGAATCCACATTAGTTCCAAGAGTAGACATTTCACTGTGCTGCTGTAGAGTAGCACTGTCTTAGGAATTGGGCAATGGCAGTATCTTTAGTTCTGGATGGAAACCTATGTTGTAACAGGCTCTCTTTAGGGTTTGCAAACATGGAAGATAGTGTGCATGCTTGTGTCAGGATGCACTGTATTATCCTAGAGAGTATATTTATACACCATGGGGACATCCTCAATACTGACAATGCTTGTTCTAATCACTGCACTGTCAGGACCCACTGAACTTTTCAGATTTTGAAAGGCTTTCCCTTTTGTGTGTGTCAGACTTGTCCAGTGATGCCTTGCAATTAGATGTTCCAACTACTTCACATGATTTCCTTTTTGAAATGCTTTAGTAGATGAGGTTGTGTACATCTGTGGGTGACCTCTACTGATGGCGACAATGGGGGAACATCGTTCCATCCCAGAATTCCATGCTGTGGCACCAGAGTTTGCGCAGGGGTGCCGGCTGTCTCTTTAAGTTAAACATGGTCCACAGTACCTGCCGTTAATTTCGCTTCAGTCTCCAAAGCAAGGAAGCACTGGGGGGATTCAGGATGAAGTAGGCTTATAAAGAAATCGCTCAATAGCACAGAGATTGACATTAAAAAAAAAAGCTGGCTTGAAAGACACTGTGAAGTTAAGACATAGAGAGCCGCCGATTCCAGCAAGACAGGCAGGAGGGAGCTGGAAAGTTTTGTACTTCAAAGCAGCCATCCTAAACTGAACAAAGTACCTATGATATAGGAAGCGGAGCTGTGTTCATCATTTCTTCATGATCGCAAAACCAGGCCGAGTCTCTACTTCTACACAGCAGGTTCTGATTCCTTCTCTAGCTGACTGTAAACAAATATAGCTCACCCGCTGGACACATAATTCTGTGTCACATGTAACATACACGACAGAACAAAACAATCTGTCTGCTAGGTGTAGCTTTCTCAGGAAAGGCCAATTAAAAAAATCAAAGCATCTGCTCTTAAAGAGAACATGTCACTTTAGAGAGATATATATTCTTTTATTTTTTTCCCCAGGAACATTTGATTCAAGTTATAAACCTCCCTCATCACTCCTAGCAAAGTCTCCTCTAGGAGAGGAGCAGGAGGTTGCTGCGTAACACATCAAGCAGCCTCACCACTCCTCCTCTGCCTGGCACTTTTTTAAACAGCACTAGCTAAAGGAGAGAGAAGCATCCTGCAGGAGGAAGATTCTAAGAGGGAAGATCATGGCAGGTCAAACTAACTGCCTGAAAACGAAGAAGCTCAGAAAATAGCCACTCTTGACGACAAATTCCTAACTTGCCTCAAACAGATTGCTGAATAAGATACTTTAAGAACAGGAGGCCTGTTTTAACCAGCATGGTGACTAGCTAAGAATGGAAAACTTCAGAACCTGATTGGCTAGGTAATGTTGGGATATGCAGTTCCCTAATGACTGAAAAGGCCATAAAAGATGGACAAATTTGGCGTGTACAGACAGTTCCTAGAAACTGGGTATATGATGACCATTTCTTTAAACCTCTGCCATGTATAAAAACTCATCAGGCCTATTCCAAGAGTATTCAGGAATAATACTATAGGAGGCAAAAAATACCCCAGTGTATGCCAAATGCTTTGACAGTGGTAAAACTGGGGTATGTAATCTTGTATTTACGTAGCGTTGCCATATCATACAATGCTGATAGGGATATTTGGAGAAACACGGATTTAAGACCATGAACAGATTAGGTTACATTACTGGTGTGCGTTGTCATGAAGGGCTCATAGGTACCATATTTGATGTCCATGTCATCTGACACAGGCAGCACTTTCCTTGTAGGAAATCAATGCAGAAATGGCCCCAGATTCTTAGTTTGTGGGGATCCCTGTGAAAAACATACCCAGAGGAAACAAGTGTTTTAAGGTGGACAATTGGCATAATGTAGATATTGGAACAGCGGTGTGTGTGCATTTGATAATATACAGATTAATAATGCTTTATGGCGATGAAGCCCAAGTTACTGTTGCATTCCTATGGCCCCCTAATACTATCTAGGAAACCTTATTCAGGTAGGTCTGTTTAACAAGAAAACCTAAAAGCAAAAACCTTGAAATATATAAATTGTACTAGTTTTATCTATTACTTGTACAAGACTGCTAATACAAACAGTATTTTATTTCTGTTCAGCATTTTAATATGTGCCCTAGCGCTCCATCACATCTTGAAGCATGTTGGAATAAGGTAGCCCTATGATTTAAATGGATAAAAAAAAAAAAAATGTCAGAGCTAATGTGAAGCCATTTATTATCACGTAGTTGTTTGGCTCCTTTTTAAATCATAATGATGACAGAAATCACCCAAATGGCCCTCATCAAAACTTGACATACCCTGGAATGTTTGGCCTTGTTACAGACACACAAGGTGACACACACAGGTTAAAATGGCAATTAAAGGTTAATTTCCCACATCTGTGGCTTTTTAAATTGCAACTAGTGTCTTGATCTGTAAAAGATAAGTTAAGGCAACTGGACTTGCTGTATTTTTCTTGAAGACATTTCACTGGTCATCCGACCAGCTTTCTCAAATCAGAAGACTTGTACAAAAAATTATCTGGGAATAAATATTGTGAATGTTGCTCCAATCCACATAATCTGTTAGTCTCAACCAGGTGTTGATTGCATTTGCATAACAGAAGTCTAGGAGGTGTTAATAACCTGCCCAGAGAGAGGTGTTAAAACAGCATTGTATGTGGCAGACAATAGACGTCTCACCCCCACCCCACCCCTATTCAAGCTTGGCTTCTCCATTTTTACATTCACCATATTTATTCCCATAGAAGTTTTGTACAAGTCATTCTGAATTGAGAAAGCTGGTTGGATGACCAGTGAAACGTCTTCAAGAAAAATACAGCAAGTCCAGTTGCCTTGACTTATTTTTTTACATACAGTATATGCCATGACCTGGATGAATGAGAACCTTCACAGACACAATTAGTGTCTTTGTATAAATAGTCTCACTAGCCTGCTCATTGCATCCATGTGAGAGGTAACAGACTCATTGTGTGTTAGCTCTCACGTGTATGCACTGAGCAGGCTAGATACTGAGCCATGGGGAGCAGAACAGAACTATCAAAAGACCTGCGTAACAAGGTAATGGAACTTTATAAAGATGGAAAAGGATATAAAAAGATATCCAAAGCCTTGAAAATGCCAGTCAGTACTGTTCAATCACTTATTGTCATAGACAATTGATGCTAAAGGGGGCAATACACAGTATTAAGAACTAAGGGTATGCAGACTTTTTAACAGGGGTCATTTTTTTTTATTTATTGCCATGTTTTGTTTTATGATTGTGCCATTCTGTTATGACCTACAGTTGAATATGAGTCCCATAAGAAGTAAAAGAAATGTGTTTTGCCTGCTCACTCAGGTTTTCTTGGTACATATATTACCAATTCTCCAAGGGTATGCAAAATTTTGAGCACAACTAAATACTGTATGTGAATTGGGTTTCCATTCATATACCACACTTAGTGGTAAATGTGTGTGTTAATGTGCACATAGGTGCAAGGAAACAATGTGAGAATGAACTGGTTGAATATCTCTATAGACTGAACTATAGTCTTCATGTCGCTTGATCTCTGTCTTACGGTGTGTCATATTTTTCTATGGCAAGGATAACAGAAAGTGAGCCCCACTGACTGGTAATGTGCAGAGCTGTGTAAACAGAACACATCTGCACTAGGGAAACCTATCTCAGCCTAAAATGTTATTTTTTTACTAATGGCCTGAGAGTCGTTTTCTTCTACATTAGTCTTCTAAAGGGGGAATAGGGGAATAGTACATATTATAAAATTGACAAAATGACTAATTAGCCAAACAATGCAATATGGTGTCCATGTTCCCCCAGAGTTTTTTGCTAATCTATGGGCAAACTGGGCAGGTAGGGTATGGTGGTGAAAATGTAATTTGAGAGACTATTGATTGGCTACAATAATTTTTCAGACCAAGACTGACACAATAACTTGGGGATTCATTTGTAAAAATAATAATTGTGCCTGTTTTGGTGCTGACCAATTTGTGTTGGTTTGAGAACTCCTTGCAGCTGTTGAAAAACAGTCTGTCACTGTTGGAAATTCTGAATAAAGTTTTAGTTTCCTTTCCAAGTCCACCTTAAATTATTTTCTTCTGGTAAACCAGAAACACCATTTCCCCCACGACTAGTGTTAGTAGACATGCAGAGTGGTTTGGCCATAACCGAAGCAGGATCCGTTCTCTGGTTCGAGACTGAAGGCCGGGTTAGCCACTTACCATGGACCCTCGCTTGTAATGGCTATACCATGTACCAGGCACCTCTTTGGGCCAACGAGCCACTTTATTCTGTAAAATATGACATGGGTTACAGGGACAGAACTGAAAGTCTAAATCTTACCAGTTTACCACGCTTGAATTCACTGAACCAGGAACCGGGGTTCTCTTTGGGCCAGGAGGTAAGTCTAGCCTGAATTGTGGAAGGGAAAGGATAGGAGGAAATACAGGGTTACACTAGAATTGCAGCTGAACACCAAAGCCACCCCCCACACCATCTACAGCACCTACATCAAACATTGGCAAGGCTGGGTCAAGTTATAATAAGCCCACACAGAACATTTTAAACCATTCTACTTGCTGCAGAGATTCAGACCATTCTAGCTCCTTGCAAGTAATACTTAAAAAAATACATTGCAAAGCTCTAATCTATACTTGAGGTGTATGTAGATGTTGATATATATAGCAGGGCCCTATGGCAAAATCCCTATAACTGAACTGAGAGAATGTGAGAGCTGTGCAGAAACACATATATCTGACCATAAAGTTGTCCCTTGCAATCTCCTGAGGCTGTTTTATATTAACATCCCAAATTAATGGCAGTTGAGATGAGCCCAGGTAGCCTTGTAGCATATACTGTAGACCCTAAGATTCTTTACATTAAGCTTATTACGCCTATGTTGCTGCAGGATCTCAGAAACTGCTGACCTTCTGGGACTTTTACACACTACACTCTGTAGATTTTACAGAAAATAGCACAAAAAAATCCAACAAGCAGCAAATCTGCAGAGCAAACACATTCTGAACAGAGGTCATATGAAAATAGCCAAACTTGTTCAGACTGAAAGGAAGGTCACAGTTGCTCCAAAAACTTCTCTTTACTGTGGTGCTGTGCAGAAGGCTGTTTTTCAACATTCAACATTGAGAAGCATAAAGAGAACAGCCTAGAGAAGCAGATGACCACGCTGGGTCCTCTCCTGTCCACTATGAAGAGGCAAATTAGGCTACAGGGGACACGGATCACCAAATCTGAATGACCGAAGACTGGAAAACATTGCTGGGCTGACAAATCTGTTTTTTGCTACAGCATGCAGATCAAGGATTAGAATCTGTTGTACACAGCATGAATCCATGGATCTCACGTTTTTGGTGTCAGCAGAGCAGCTGGTAATGTTACATTGTGGGGAATGATTTTACACATTTGGCACCTCATTACCAAGTCAGCACTGTTTAAATGCCACAAAGTGTACATCAGTTTTATAAGGGACCATGTGCCCCCCTTTATGGGGGAGTCTATGTATACACATTTTAAAATGACTATACTGTAGTCTTCTGCTTAGTCTGCCAGCACTCTACAATCTTAAACAGCTTGCTGCTTGCATTAAACAAATAAAGATCCATAGGTCTATTAAATAAATTTAATAGCTGCAGGGAGAGAGCTGACACAAGCAGAGCTATTGAAATATTAATCCTGTGGGCAGCAAGGTATAAAACAAGGCATTGTCTTAAGGTTTTCGGTTTCAACCATCACAATTATTTAACTGCCGCAGAGAAATCTGAAAGGGCAGAGTCAACTATGCAGCAATTGTTCCATCAATAGGTGGTATGTCATTATATATCACAGGTCTTGTACTATAGTTGGGATTTGGGTGCTGCATAGAGTTAGTTTATACATATTATTTAAAGGGTCAGTTCACCCAAAAGTGCTATTTTAGTTATAGGTTGAGCCTGGTGTGCAAAGTCAGCCCTGGCTTCCTATATGACTTGGGACTTCTGGCATTAAGATCTTCATGCCATAATTCCAAACTCTGTTCCCTTCCATCTGGGTGTTTCTGGTTTTCTGTCCACTTTGGAGCATTACAGCTCCTTCATAATATGACTTATATCAAAATCTAAAAATGTCCCCTTATGGACAAATCAGGTGTGTGCAAAGATATCACCAATGTATATATTTTGGGGATTCCAATACCCTCAGGTGGGTTAATTTGTATAGCTTTTATCAAAAATGGAAATTGTTGAAGTAGTCTTAAAATTTCTTTCTGCTATTATAGGTTTAAATAAAACCAAAATGTGTGCTTACTTGTTGGAAACCTTTCTTTTCTCTGGGGACGCAGACAATTCACATTCTTTTAGGAACAAAATATGCATTTACATGTGTTTAATGTCGTGGGGATTCATTAGCATTTAGCAAACTTACCATCTCTGCCAAATGTATGAAATATCCACCAGTCACCATGACCTTCAAATGTTATAGATTGTATAATTTACTTTGAATTCATGGCATTGTTTTAGGAATCAGCACTGTTAGGCCTTGCTGAGTGATCACAGGCTTGAACAGATAATTTGACCATCAGGTCTTGAAGTCTGCGTAGACTGCCGCAGGACAGACTAGATAAACCTTTGTTTTTATGTGCCAGAGTGCTGGGGTCTCTAGTGGATTTTCCCAGCTGGTATTATCGATGGAGAGGGCCTTGAAGTGTTGAGCAATATTAACACACACTTTGACTGTCCTCTGTTGCTGATTGCTTTGATCAGGCCCAGGCAGTCAATAGCTCAGACGTGAAGTGTCTGGGGAGAGGAGGCAATTAATTAAGTGATATTAAAATACTGGACTCTCTGCCTTCCTTCCATTGCCAAGCCTTACTGGTGCCAGACATTTCAAGCCTTCCTAATGCCACATTCAAAGGAAGTCTACAGCACTTACTCCTTCAGACTTCTTGTCTGGAAAGATGCACGATTCTCCACCTGCCGTAAAATTGCAGTAAACTTTAAAGGAGTCTCGGGAGCAGCCCTGGTTAGGATCAATCCAATATTCACCTAGATCAGGGAAAAGAAAAGCAGAAAGCTTGTAAGCATTGCCTTGTATCTGGGCCATCAGCAGCAATTATTAGTACGTATTGTACATTCTCACAATCCTCATTGTTTTCACACTCTGCATTTTACAGGCAGAAGCGCTAAATAGTTTCTATAAGATGTCTATATTGGCCAGAGGAAATTTGGAGCTCCAATGTAGAGCTGACTGAATCAGGTGAGAAAGAAATTCACTAATGATTTACCCTTCCACAAATGTACAGTGTGTTACTGCATGTTAGCATGTATTGTATTAAGGTGACCCAACATTTTAAATTTCAATGCACCATAACACACCAAAAACCAAACAAACACACGTAAAAACACCAAACCAAATCACAGATGGTTCCCATCTGTTTGTAGTGTTGCACTGCAATGCACGTGCATTTGCAAGCTGCATTGGGGTGCCATTCCAAATGAAAGGCACTGCCGATCATGTGCATCATGTGGGTGTTTTGTGTCTTTGTCATTTCAAGAAAAAGTTGTGATGAGGAAGGGCTAACTTTACTGAGGTCTTTCTAACATTGCCATTAGCCTGGCTGTTGTGGTGATCCAATGTGTTCAGTTCCCACCTAAATAGCTGCTTACTTGCTTCAGGTGAATGACTCAAATAATTAAACTGGTGAAATAGCACTGTAGACAGATATTTAGCTCTTTCAGAAAGCATATTCAGCAATGGCAGGCTACATATTTCTCTCCCAGCAGGTTTCATATTATTAGTGACTTCACATTTACAGTATATTGGATAGTGCAACATTTCTACCAGTGTTACCAGTGACTTCACTTACAGGGATGCACAATGCAGTATCCATATTGTGTATTCTCTACAACTGTGTATTTATCATTCTCATTAAACTTACCATCAGGGAAGTCGGGGTGACATAGCTGTAAGTCTTTGCATGTCCTGGCAGGATTACCCTGAGTGCCCAATGGGTGTTTCATCTGTTCAATTTCCAGTTTCAGGGAATTTAGAGAGCCAAAGATTTCCTCCATACCGTCAGCATAGTCCATGTAGTTTGTATCTGTATTTCCTTCATCCACCACTTGACTGGCATCAATATTTCGCTTGGTTCTCTTCGATGACTGAACAGGAAGTGGCTGTATAACTTCTCCTGGGGGACCCTGCAACAAAATTTGGGATCTTACAGACCGACCTATAAGTGTTCTACTGATAGCATCTGCAGATTTCAATACAAGAGCGTATTACTCACTGGAGGACCTGGAGGGCCAGGAATACCCATCTCACCCTTTGGACCGGTTGGACCCTAGAAACGGAGATAGCATTATGGGGCTATGCATGTGAATGTAACAACTGAACAGGAGAGATTCAGAATATTCTACTTACTGATGACCCTTTAGCACCTTTTGGCCCAGGACCACCCTGCAATGGAAATCACAATTGATAATTATCATAACATAGATTGTTTGCTTGCAATGTAATCAATAACTAATAAAGAACTGGGAATATACATTTATCTTAAGGAAACATACCGGCAATCCTGGAGGACCGGGAGGACCCACAGGCCCAGATGGGCCAAAAATACCCTGCAAAACAATGGTGTAACTGGTGAGATAGATCATATTGATAATAGCAAAGTTATTGAGTGCGTTAATCCCTGCCTTGCAGTCTTGTAGATTTCTATAATTTGTTATGTTCAGCAATGACTTGGGCAGAAACAGAGGGGATGCATTACCTGTTCTCCTTTCGGTCCATGAGTACCCTGAGGACCTGGTAGACCACGGTCTCCCTTTTCACCCTGTTCTCCCGGAGGTCCAATGAGGCCAATTAAACCAGGATGACCCTAAAACAGGAGCAAAAAATGACTTGTTAACAGGCCTGTATGGTCTTCCCATTTCATAAATGATGCACGAAATGAAGCAGAATGACTTATGTTGTTAATTTACAGGAATTAAGTTGTGAGAGCTAATTACACAGAAAGTACAAAACAATTACACTGATTCCAATAATACATTTATCAGAGAAAACACCGTCACTGCAGTAAACACAGTAATTTAGAAGACATTGAGGCTGCTATGACTGTAACAGTTTACGAACAAAGGTATATTTTTCAAGAGTAAATATTATTTCTAGTAATATCACAAATACTCCTAATAGATGTTAAATAGTTTTGAGGCACCTTTATTCTAGCACACAAAGAAAGATCAGCCTTAAAGAAGAATTGTCTAAACAAGACTAATAAAGACAATTACTTTGTGCATAGCAGAGATTTTTAGGTATGTAATTCTAACCCATTATTAATTCTGATTTCATTTTCTGAAGATTTGAGGGGCTGCAGATATAGAAACTTGATGAGTTCCCAACCCAGACCCAGAATAATAGGTTGTGTTTTTGTCATGCTTTAAAGCTTATTTAAACCCAAGAACAAAATTTAATATATTGCAGCTCATCAGTACTTTTTTTTTTTTTTTTTTTCCTTTGGTGATCCTGCCAGTAACATATTCCTTTCCGAGGGTGAGCTATGGAGCAGTAGCATTGTCACCCTAGAAGTGGACTACAGAACACAAACCTCTCCCCTAGTCTCCATAACAAAGGGCAGAGGTGTTCTGTGGTGTGGTGATAGCTAGGAACAATGCTATCTGACTGACAATCAGCACAGGCAGAGAGCGTAGGATGTCATCAGCTCACAATATTTCTGGCAAGATCAACAGGTACTTGTTTGCACTTATTGAGCAAATTTAACAAAATGTTTTAAATGGCATATCTAACAGAAAAAAAAATCATTCTGCGGGCATATTCTCACCATCAAAAAAGCCTGTCCTGAGCAATGACACGCAACCCCTGCTGGAGTGCATGCATGTAGACAGGAAATGGATAAAAAGGCTGCAGGATATCAGCATCACTGAGATGCAAAAATAAATGAAAAAAGGTAAAAAGTATATGCTAAAAGAAAAAAAAACTGGCAATTGGCTGTGATAAACTAAATGGACTTTAAAGTGATATTAAAGTCAAAGGGTTTTTAAGCTATTTCACTTACCATAGATTATGCTCCTTGATGTATCAAAGTATTAGTTTCCTGCAGAATCAGCTGATCCCCACAGTACTGGCCCTGATATCCTGTTTTAGGGGCGTTCCCTCCCCTTGCAGGAGCCACCCATGTGTGTGCTAGTAATGTCTATTTCTTTTTGGGTAAAGTTAGGTAGGATTTGAACCCCCTCCCTTCCCTCAGGCCAGTCATGACATCCTGGGCCTGAGCTGTTACTGCGAAAATGCATCTACTTAGAAGCCAATATGCTTGCTAGAAGCAAACAACATTAGAGAACATAGTGAACAGAAGGGTCACATTGTGTATAGCGACCCAAGGTCTGTAGTTCCAAGTTCTGTAAGTAGCCTTCAGCCAACCCTTATTGGAGGAAGGCTACTTACAGAACTGGCAGTGATAACATTACCACTATCCCTGCTTACTATATAGTTGTGTCAGCCCACAAGACAGCACTCTCCATCATGTACTGGAAGCCTGTACTCTTGTTTCTGTCTGGTAACAAAATAAGGACTTACCTTTTCACCTTTTGGACCTGAATCACCCTTCAAACCGGGCAAACCTGGTGGTCCCTATAAACAAAAAGTATAATAATGTAGTTATTAAACAGTCACCTCTAATAATAACAACTAATGCAGTCACTTCTAATGATACCAATCTCCCATTGGGCTCTGCATCAAATATAGTGTCAATGGAAAATCTACTGTGTTACTTGTAAGGATAACCACAGTAACATTTTAAAATAGAAAATATAGAGGTGGCCCTGACTACATAGAACAGAAGGTGAAACAACTTTATCTAAGATAAACAGTTGATGATACTTCATTCTAGAAAAGGCTTCAATCAAAACCTAGGAGACATTCTTGGGGTCCTTACTGTTAACTGAATTTATCCAGGGATTCCATACTTTGGATATTCTCTACAATGATGATCTTAAGTAGTTTATAAAAAGGTAGAACTACATTAACCACTAAAGTCAACATTATCAACATTACTTATGTACGCAATGCAATGAATCCATGTTACTGGATTCATTGGACTGTTTCAACTGTGTTAATCTTAAAGGAGAACTATGAGGTGAGTGCTTTTCACTCACCTCATAGTTCTAGCCGACCTGTGACAATGAGACTGTCACAGGTCGGCCCAGTAGATCGGGAGGTGAGCGAACACATACCGGCGTTCGCTCACCTCTCGATCCTGTCACGACTCTCTGCTGTGACAGGGGAGGGGCTGGATTCCCCGCTCCCGTTACCCTAAGGAGAACTATGGGGAAAAGCCTTAACCCCATAGTTCTCCTTTAAATAACTTTTATTCACTTGTTAAGGTTGATGTAGAGGTATGTAGAAGCAGTGGTGTACCTAGGCTGGGAGGCGCCCCTTACATTGATGGTCAGTTGGAAGAAGAATCCTTCCTTTATTGATGATCAGTGGCAAGAGGTAGTCGTTTTTCCCACTGATGTAAAGAACATTATCCCTACTGACCATATCAGAATTGCAATATTTTACCTACATATTGTCAAGTCACTGTTTAGAGGTCCACAGTACTGTAATGTGATCTAAAAACACAAAATGTACAGCTCACCCCTTCATGCATCCTTGTAATCTACATTTGATGCACATTTGATTCTTTTGGAATACCTATCTTAGAAACTGCAATACTGGCATACAATGCTCTTCCAAAAAAAATCACATTTTATTCCACATGCATCTGCACAAAAAAATTATGGCTCAGGCATTGCTGCCTTACTCAACCTTGTCTTAGACGATTGTGAACCAAGATCAAACCCACTAAAATTACATGCCACATAGGGCGGGGAGAAACGCTTAGGAGCACCTGTATGTACAGTAATAAACAATCTATGTAATGACATTAAAACAAAAAGAGAGGAAAAAGCGAGAATGCACACTTCAAAACTATGGGTGGAAATCATCAAATCCAAACATTATGTTCTAAAACCCATAACAACAGTGGGGGAAGTATTATATGACAATCGCAAACTGTCCAAAATATAAACAAGTGACCCACCGATGGTGGAGATCCTATAGAAGCTGAGTTTTCAAACAAAGGGACACAACAAGAAATAATGTGATGGACATTTCAGACTATGATTTAACCAAGGAGGACATCTCCCTAAAGGTCTTTCCTTTTCACCAACATTTCATTTCAATGTTTTTGATCCAATATGTCATGTGAATAGATTTGTAAGAAACATTGCATTGAGGAAAGGAAACACTTTGCCCGGCCAGAACAGGTCATTGAAACAGCTGGTTCTGGGGTGGATAACTGTTTTGGTAGGTTTCCAGGCAACTTTTGTTTTTCAGGATCTGATGTCTCAATCCATTTTGGATGAATTGCTATCAGAGGGTGACTGTGGTTTTCCTTCTTTTGGCAGTTTTCATATGGGAGATAATTTTTTCTACCCTGTACAGCCTAGGAGCTCGGTTATAGATGCCTTTCAGGATGTGGTGGAAATCAAGCTCCTAATACTAAGTAAAGAGACAGAGAGAACAGCCTCTTCAACTTTCGATAAATTGTCTACCACGTGCAAAGAGAGGAAGGCAATTACTATCAGGAACACAGATAAGGGTGGCTCTGTGGTTGTTATGAACACCAAGGGTTATAGGGCAGAGGCCCTCTGTTAGTTTTCAGATGTGAACACCTATTGCAGGGGCGTAACTAGAAATGACAGGGCTCCATAGCAAAATTTTGTATTGGGCCCTGTGACTTCTAGTTATGCCCCTTGCAGAGCCTACTTGAGATCCTTCACATTCTGTTTGCCTGAAGAAGGAGCCGCTGTTGTTCCGAAACGTCGCTATATGATTTGATAGCAATCGAGTCAATGAACCGTTTTTGACTTGAAATTCTATTGGAGTGCGAGTTACTTTTTTATACATATACCCATTTGAGATCCCATGCAGCTCACCTGAGGGTGACCCTGCAGAGCCCACCATAGATTATCTATGGTGGGCTCTGCAGGGTCACCCTCAGGTGGGCTGGTCACACTCCTTACCTGTCCCCCTCCTCTTACTGCACGATCGCTGATGGGCCCCGTCTCCTCCTCCATCCCCAGGCCTGCCTCCTTCTCCATCACCGGGCCCCGCCTCCTCCTCTGCTGCCGACCACAGGCCCCGCCTCCTCCTCCACTGCCGGGTCCAGCCTGCTCTACCGCCGCTGCTGGCTCTCATTGACTCCGCAGCGGCTGTGAGAAGAACACGCTGCTACACAGATCACTGTCAGTGATCTGAACAGCAGAACATTCTTCTCACAGCCGCCAGTGAAAGACACCAGCATAATATGCCATAGCGACCCAGGCGGCCCGCACGGCATCTGGCCGGACCCCCCTGTGCACCGGGCCCCATAGCGGCTGCCTGGGTCCTATTGTGTTCTTGACAGTGATCCTACAAAAGATTTTAAGAAATCCCTATAAGAACTTACACGTTTGGGAGTGAATATGGAAGCTCTGAGTCAAAAGACAGCCGAATAGTTAGTAGTTTAATTTCCCATAGTGCCGGTTTTTCACCATCTGCCAAAGATACATAAAGGAGAACCCTTTCCAGAGGGTTGCTCCCATTGGGGTGTGGATTGGTTCACTAATGGAAAGGTTAGGACAGTGGGTGGATAGCCATATGCAGCCCTTAGTACAACAGTTGCCAGCTTGCAAGAGACACATCTATTTTGAGGCCTTTGTTGAATGTACAGTGGAAAAATGATTTATGGGTCACGTTGGATCATGCCCTTTATTCATTCATACCGCATGATTTAGTGTTTAGGGCCTTAGAGCATCATCAATGCAAATATAGTAACTATTTTTTCATGTTTGATGGGGGCTTTTGTTATCTGCAGAGATGTGGATCATCTATGGGGGCAACATTTTTAACCTCTCTCACCAATCTTTGTATTGGGTGGTGGGAAGAGCTCCACATTTTTGCTGTGGGGAATCCCTTCAAAAACAGCGTCATGTGGTTTGGACGCTGCATTAATGATCTTCTGTTAGTGTGGAAAGGTGAGGTGGATGAAGCATTTATTGCCCATATGAATCATAATTATTTTAATTTACATTTTACGGGTAACTGGAATCTGGTTGAGGTCTATTTATTGGACCCTATACTACAAGTAGATATTGAAGCAAGTCTTGTCGACACATACACCTACCGGAAACCCACAGCTGTTAACTCAATATTGAGAGCAACCAGCCTTCACCCAGGCTCATACTACAAGTATTAGGGGAATTTACTGCACAATTGTTCCACTATGGATCTCTTTCAGCAGAAAGCATCAGTTATTTTTTTCCAGCTCGAGTCAAGGGGTTATCCAACCTGGTTCAATGAGAAGGGCAAGCGCCAAGTATCACAGAGATCCAGATGGGATTGTGTATGGGGATGTGACCATAAACAAGGTACTAGAAAAGATAATAGAAGTGAATCAAATATTCCCACATTTGTCACCACATACTCTAGGGCAGTGATGGTGAACCTTTTTGAGCCTGAGTGCCCAAGCTGGATCACTAAACCAAATTATGTATCTCAAAGTGCCAACCCTTCAATTAGACCTGAATACTCTCAGGGGGGCTCTGCAGTTCTGAGGTGGTCTGTACGGGCTCTCAGAGGGCTGTGTGGCTCTCAGGTGGGCTCTGTGGGGTCTCTGGTGGTCTGTACAGGCTCTCAGGGGAGCCGTGAAGCTCTCAGGTGGTCTATTATGGCTTTTGGGTGGGCTCTGTGGTCTCTCAGGTGGTATGTATGGGCTCTCTGGGGAGCTGTGTGGCTCTCTGGGTCGCCTATAAGGGTTTTCAGGTGGGCTCTCAGGTGGTCTGTTTGGGCTCTCTGGGGGGTTGTGTGGCTCTCTGGGGGGGCTGTGTGGGCTCTCAGGGGGGCTGTGTGGCTCTCAGGTGGTCTATAAGGGCTTTCAGGTGGTTTGTATGGGCTCTCAGGGGGGCTGTGCGGCTCTCTGGGGGGCTATAAGGGTTTTCAGGTGGGCTCTCAGGTGGTCTATAAGGGCTTTCAGGTGGTTTGTATGGGCTCTCAGGGGGGCTGTGTGGGCTCTCAGGGGGGCTGTGTGGGCTCTCTGGTGGTCTGTATGGGCTCCCAGGGGGCCTGTGCAGCTCTTAGGGGCGCTGTGTGGGCACTCAGGGGAGCTGTGCAGCAATCCTGGCCAGAGTGCATGAATGCAGATAGGAAACAGCTGCCAAGAGGCTGCAGGGGATCAGCAGGAAAGGGATGCAACAAGCCATAGCAAAAAGGTGAAGACTGGAATTGTATTTAAAACAGTGCAAATTGTTTCACATACTGTTTGGTATA